TCATTCCCCCCTCCCGAGCCACTCCTGGGTGGGCCACGGAGCCCCGGCTCTCTGCTGCTTCGCATTTTCCATCCTCGAACCTAACCAGCGCTGTGACCCACCCTTCCCACCCCCAACTCTCTCCTTGAACCGGGAGTCCCAGCTTCCACCTGAGTCTGACCTTGAAGCTGTTAACCTGAATCCTAGTACTAACCTCCAAAGCTAAATCCAAGGTGAATAGAAAGCCTGTTATGTCATGTAGGCACAGCCTCAAAGCCTCGTTGACCCAATGCCCAACCTTAGTCTAAACCTCTGATTCTAAATCCTAAGCCGGAACTTGAAACCTGGCCTTGATACCAAAAGGGAGATTCTGTCCCCATCCAAGGCAGGAGCTCAAACAGCACCCTTTGATCAAGGCACCCCCTGCTGGGAGCATGCAGCGCATGGGTGGCTTCTGTTTAGCCCTTCAACTGGGTGCCCTTGTGCAATGCCCAGACTGGGCAACTGTATATGAAGGACCTTCTCTTGACAGTAAACCCCTAACTTAAATAAATGTAAATTTAAGCAACAATGAGACCCTTTTGACCTATTAACGGGCAGAGATGATACTGGCTAGAATTTGCCTAGCCATTTTTCTGTTAAAAAAACAAACAAAAAAGTATTTTCAGTTTTGCAGGCCACAGGCTCAATGGAGCAATCGCTCACTCTGCCACTGTAGAGCAAAGGTGGTCACACGTTGTAGAACATGGCTGTAAACTTTACAAAAACGGGCTTCGGATTGGGTTTGGCCTGTGGGTTACACTTTGCCAATCCTCTGTCTAGAATAACGAGAGACCAGCTGCTTGTACTTCGTTAACAGGGCTGTAAATTCATAAGGAATTCTAGATGCTCAAGTACACAGCGACCACAACCTGGTCTCGACAATCCAACTTTTTGTCAATTGTCCGAAAGAAATAATTGCCGAAAGGTAATTGGACAAACGTGTTCATTTATAGCATCGCGCATTAAAGCAAAAACATTAGAAACGATCTGAATATTTTTCTATCGGGAATTTGTGGAATAAATGATAATATATCCACATAGTCAAATATCATATGACCATTAAGGGAGTAGTCAACCTATACTTTTTCATGAAAAAGCTGCCTTCTGTTGAGTGTAACAATACCGTAGGGGACAGTATATATAGCATGACCTTGCTATTTGAAAGAAACCTGTATGTTTATTTGTGCATACGTGGGTTTAGAAGGACACGCCTCAGCCATTGGGAGAGGCTGTCTTTTGTTTTAAGTTTGCAATGCCCGTATACTGTTTTTATATTGAGAAGCAAAGCAACGTCCCCTGTGGTGCCTGACTGCCTGTCAACCTCTATTCCGCCCTCGTTTCCTCTTTTTCGTCCACCAGTGTTGACTTCCGGTGACTTCCGGCCTCGCGCGTGGCGTCAGCCTGAGAACCTAACTCTAATTCTATTCGTACTGGATCTCTCCAGAACCTTCTCGTGGTGGCGCTTTCTCGCCTCCCTTAACCTTCCTCCTCCTTTAAGTGGTGGTGCTGTTATGGGTTCTACAAGCAGCAAACACAGCAGCAGCACGTCTTATGTGCCAGGCTCTGTGTTGGCCCGTTGCTGCTCACAGCAGCTCTGTGAGGGAGGTACTATAATTACCCACATTTTACAGGTAAGGAAACTGAGGCACAGAGAGGCTAAGTAATTCGCCCGAGGTCTCACAGCTGGGATGGGACAGGGCCAGGCTTGGAAGCCAGGCAGCTGGGTACTGGAGCCAAGGCTCTCTACAGCTGTGCTTTGCAGCCTCTGTGTGCCTAGTGTGTCCAGCTGAGGGGACTAATGAGCTTTTAGGTGGAGACCCCACTTTTCAAGGAGAGTCCAGCTGGGTCCAAAATGGACACAGGGAGCCGAGGCCGGGGGAGCGACGCTGTAAACACATCGCCCCCTAGGCAGGGCCCGGGTGGGGCGGGTGTGGGGAGAGCAGTGAGGCTTCGGAGGGAAGTGCCCCCAATGGGTGCCGCTGAGTCAGGGGCTCCCAGGGGCCTGTGACGTGGAGAAGCCACACGACGCCTGGCTCCCCGAGGAAGGCGTACTTGGAGGCCAGCAGTTCCGGGCATCCTATCAGAGACCAGCCCCAAGGCTGGCGGCCCTCCAGGCGGGTTTTCTTCTTTCAGAGCCCAGAATGACTGCCAGGACCATCTACCTGGCCATCCGGGTCGTCAAGAACACCCTGTCAGACACCCGCTCCAAGGTAACAGGGCGGCGGCCCCGCGGGGAATGGCTCTCCGGGTCCCCTGCCAGCGAAGCAGAGGGAAGCCGGCAGGTGGCCTAGCATCGGAGTGGCATTCGCTCCTCTCCAGCTGTGTGGCTGGAGGCTGGCCTCCTCACATAGCGCCTCTTGTTGGAAAAGCCAGCTTCCCGCCACCACTGAGCAGGGCTGGAGGAGAGCGAGGCCCCAGGACGCCGTGCCCACGCTCACTCTCACTCTTACCAAGCGTTCCAGCGAAGGGTCGCAGACAGCACCCTGGACAAAGGACCGGCCTAGCCCATCCAGCTTCGGCCAGAGCCGCTCCGCTCCCCAGGGCTTTTGTAAAGATCCTTATCATGCGTGGACGAAGCAGCTGAGGAATACACCTCCACCTTCCAAATAAAGTCTCCCCTGCAGCCACCGGCCAGCTCTGAACATAGCCTCGGTTATGGCTGAGGACCCTGGGGCTGCTACACGTCCCCCAGTGGGGGAGGACTGGAGCGGGAGTGTCTGCACGAAGCAGGGAGGGAATGAGGGCTTGGGCTTGAGGTTTAGACGGAGCCGTCTTCAGTACCTGGAAGCTGCGAAGGGAGTGGGGAATAGCTTTGTCCCGTGCTGTCCCCGCGGAGAGCACCCAGGAGAAGAGTCTGGCCGTCCTCTGAGTAATAGGGGTGCACGCCGTGTCTCTGAATGGCTCAGATGAGGCCCCAGGGTGAGCACGCTGCAGAGTGGGACCCTCTGGATGAGACACGGAGTGGAGGACACAGTGGGCAATAGCCAGGTGGCCCCTGAGGCCTCTTCCAGCCCAGAGCACCCCCAGTTCCGGAAATCTCATGTCTCAGGATTGGGTGTTAGATGCCAAGCCTCTCGCCCAGGAGCCCACCCCAAGTCCCAGCGTGTCCGCCACCCTGTCCCCTCAGGTGAGGATGGCTATTCTCCGCATCATCGGCCAGCTGGCTCTGTCTGGCTTCCAGGACAAGATCAAAGGCTGGGGCTTGAAGTACGTGTCCGTGCAGCTGACACTATCTACCTACAAACTGGTGAGTGTCCTGACGTGGAGTAGACGGACTTCGGAACCGGTTTGCAAAGCACTGGAGAAAGAGTGCACCTGAGCCGGAACCGGCATGCACGTACGCTTGTGACACAAGCACTTAACGCACGGGAAACTGCGGGGAAGGGTGGGCGAGCCGCACAGGCAGGGGTCTAGAAAATATGGAGACACTTGCAAAGTTCTGAGCACCCCGGAGTCTCTGGGCATCAAGCCCGATGGGGGTGAGGAGACCACGCCCAAGACCGTGGCAAGCCTCTTGCCAGCCCACGAGTGGGGAACCCTCGGTTCTGCATTCCAGACAAATCGCCGAGAAAGCTTCTATCAGAGGGACCTGGAGGAGAAGATGGTCCACAAGGTCACCATGGACACTGTGAGGATCATAACCTCCTCTGTCAGTGGCATGACCAACGTGAGTGCGCCCCACCCAGCCACCCACGGGCTGGCATGCTGCAGCTGCACTGCCCCGGCTGGCGGGGCTTGCGCGTGTCCCGAACTCTGCACCGTCGCTCCTGCCATTTCCTCTGCCTGGGGTGCGTGGGGCCCTGATCTTCCAAGCGCCTGAGCTCTCATCCTTCAAGACCCAGTTCCTCGATGGGGAACCAGAGCCCCCAGATGCGAGCGCACAGCCTGGCACACACTAGGCCTTAAGACGTATCAGTCGATTAGTTGCCCGAAGTGCGTTTGTTCCCTTAGAGCCCCTTCAGTCCTGATGTGTGTGTCTGTGTGTAAAGAAACGATGTTAGTGGTTTAATTCCATAAATATTCGGTTAGTTCCTACAATGAGAAGGACGTGAGACAGTACACCAGAGGGCTCGGTATGACCCCAAGGAGCTCACGGGCTTCAGGGGAAACGAATGTGTGCAGTTTCAATAGCAGCACACAGTGACATAGCAATAAGACAGGAAAACTTTACCATGACCGCTCAAGGAGGATACATATCTTTATGGACATTAAGCGTGTCCATAGGCCCCTGTCCGATTTCTGTTATCTTAATAGCAGAAATCATGAGAAACAGAGTGATCACTGCTGACTCCCTCGGCTATATCGGGTGGGTGCCACATAGATGGCCCTGACAAAGACCGGGGTTGGCAGCAGAGCCAGTTAGGGTGGAGGCTGTCAGCGGCGGGGATGGGTGAGTGTGGTCCTGGAGGTCTGAGGTGAGGCCCACACTGTGGGGTCTCGCATGGCCATGGGACACCCCAGCTCATCCTGCCTCCCCACCTTCCAGGAGTTCTGGGTGGGGCTCCTGTGCTACATCATGGAGACGGATTACACGGAAGCCTTGACCCCCATCTGCATCGGCCTCACGAACCTGGCCGAACGACAGCTGCACGCCAGCGAGCTGGAGGCCAGCACGGCCAGCAAGCACAAGCACGGTGGGCAGCATCCCTGTGCCGGCTGGCGGGACTGGGCAGGTGCGGGCTGCTTCTCCGCTCCAGGGAGCGTCCTGGAGTCCACACAGCCAGGCAACGGCTTGTCCTTGTCACATCTGAGGAGGGGGTAACATTGGGCAAACTTCCTCTGGAAGCTCATTCCTGTCCTCACACCCCTGGCGTAGACCCAGTGGCCCGGACCCCGCCCTGCAGAGGTCCTGGCTTAGCCTCTCCCTGGGGCTGCCCTCTCTGGGCTTCTGTGAGCCAGTTGGAAGAACTACAGACATCCCAGCTAAGTCCTCTCTAAACCACCACATTGTGGTACCCCGGAATGTTAACATTAATCTCTCCGGCACACCTACGTATGGAGTGACACTGTGGCAAGTGGGCTTCTCTCATGGGCCGGGGCCTTTGCTGGATGGGTGTGGCTGGCAGTGGAGGTGATTTCAGGAGCCCTTCAGGACCCAGGGACAGCAAAGTGTGGAGCCTACCCTGACCAAGGAGCTAGGCGAGCCCTGAGGTCTGCCTGCCACACTGGGGCTGAGTCCTGGGGCCCTTTCCACCTGCAACTTCTCAGCAGGCCTGGCCCTCCCTTGCCCACTGGTCCAAGTGTCATGTTTGCTTCTGACTGACTCACTGACTCCCAAAGCCTGCCTTTGGCCCGAGGTGACGGAGAGTGTCTGAGAGTAATGCCAAGGTTACAGGAGGAAGCAAACACTGTCGTGGCAGGTCCCTGTGT